AAAAAGTACAGAATAATTTATTAACCGTGTTAGCATATGAAAGAGAGTCCAGAATGCTACAAAATTATAAAATAACTTTAAATTACCCATAAAAATCATAAAGCCAAAAAACTGAGTACAGTATCCAAATTTGTGATTTATTACTAAATAATTATTGTAAAATATTTATTGTAAAATATTTCTCAGTACCAAAAATTCCAAAGAACATAAAAATATTAGAAATAATTAATTATTTAATTTTGACCCTGGAAGTAAAGAAAATGGCTCCAAATTGGAAATACACAGGCATTACATACTCCATTGAAAATCGAACTAAAAAAAGGAGGCAAACAAAGTACATTCTTGTGAAAATCCGAACAATTCTTAAACATTACATAACGAATGAAATCAACTCAAAATTTGATATGTTTTTGGTATAAACTTGTGAAAAAGAAGCCCTCAAAGATTTCATTGAAGAGATGCTTATACGAGATTGTTAGTTGTTAGTGACTGCATACATTGGTTCATACGAAGTTCACTGCCTTAGTGAAGCCAAAGTGTGATCCAATGGTAGTATACTGTTCTGGTCAATAGATACATGCATTCAGTTAGTTAAAAATTGCTTTCAGCACATATGTACAAGCACATGCCAAGAATATGAGTAGGATACATGAAATGTTGCAGATCAATCAGAGTTGTTGCATGTAGGCGAATCCACTATTTATTGGACTATTACTATATACAACTTTCTTATAATGTTTACGTATGATACCCATATTTGTCTTTCATGCAAAAGCTAATCTTCACGAATTTCCTATATACGTTCAAGAAGCCTAACCTATATCATCATTAACTTTGTTGGGTTTAGCTTTTGTCTACGTAATAGTTTTGCTATGCTAATCTGTGGCCTCTTTTTATCACCTCGTTTTGCTTCGCCTTTTCTTGACTACCACATACCCTTACCCTTATATATTATGTTTCTATATTTTTTTCACTTTTTATTTTTATCTTACTCTCTTTTTATATTGTATCATTTATTTTTATTTTTTTTCTTTAAACTTAAATAAAAGAGTATCAAAATAACGTCACCATGACTAAAACTAAATTAGGGGTTTTTTTCCCAATAAAGTCGGGGTGGGACAAGTGATTACAAGTATGATCTTTTTATCATTTTCCAGAATGAGTAGCATTGTTTTTCCCTAATATTTTTTTTTCCAGCTTAGGAGCTATGGATTCGGTTCAGATCTGCTAAACTCCTTTGCTTTGTATACCCACTAAGCATCTGCGTAATCAATTGACGCTCACACTGAATCTTATGTCAATTAAGACAAAAAAATTTATTCTGTGTCTACCAAATGGTATAATATAGGAGGAAAACAAACGAAAAAAATAAATAAAAAAAATTGTCATAAATGAAATAATAAATATTTGACAAAATTAATGTTTTTATTTTCAGTTAGTAAGATTTGATTTCATTTTTTATTTTTCATTTTTAAATAAATCCTTTGCCATTGAGAATGTTAACTCCATTAAAAAAAAATTATTTTTTTCTGCTTCATCTTTTTCTTTGGGTCTGAAATTATTTTCTCTCATAGCTTTTCCTCTTCTTCATTTTTATTTTCTTATCTTTTTTTTTTTCTCATCTTGCTTTTTTCTTTATCTTCATCCCTCCACTCTGTGGAACTTTTGAAAAAGATAAAAAATGGTATGTAACCAAACTTACCTGTATTTGTGTTTGGATTGGATAAAGGATTGAGATTGCTATTACAAATGCTTCAACCATTGATTTTATGAAATGAACTTTCGCATTTAGGATATTCAGATTCATCAATATTATTTTTCAAAATCTCACACAATTGAGGAATGAAGAGGAAGAAAAAATTATAAGAAGAGAAAGGGAAGAGGTGAGAAGAAAGAAATTACATATTTAAGAAAAAAAGATAAACTATATAGAAAAAATACAACAAAACAGTTAACATTTTTAACAGTAAAGAATCAAAATAATTATTTTAAAAAAAATTAAAAGACAAATTCAAAACTTATTGTAAAGGTGGAAGACAAAAATACTAATTTTACTTAAATATTTATTATACTATTATATTCTTAAATATATTTTTTAATAAATATTTATTAATTTTATTTATTTAAAATTAATTTGAAAAATTCAAGGTATTACTTTATACTACTAAAATTTTATATCTATTCACCCCTAGGTTGCCAATAAAGTAAAAGGAACTTTAATATACAAGAGGTATATTTGTTACATAATACAATATTGTATTGATGAGTCAGGTCTTATTTGGATAATTTTTTCAATAAGTTTTTATAAAAAAAATAATATAAAAAATTAATAAAACTGCTTTATAAGTTAGAAGTAACTTTATATATATATGTATGTATTAATTAGAAGTTCTAATAAAATTTTATTTAACTTTTCTAAAATTTAAAAAAAATATTTTTAATTTATAAAAGAAGTTTCATTAATTTTTTATACAATTTTTACTAATCTACCAATGCAAAATAATAAGATTATTTTGCATTGGTAGATTAGTAATAAATTAAAAGATATATAAAAAGTATACAAACCTAAATTGTTAGATAAATAATTCACTTAGGTTTAAATATTTTCTCTCCATTAATGCCAATCTTATTCTTGAGATAGAAAAAGTTACGTATTCCTTAAGAATTTTCCCTTATAATTTGGATGATCCAAAGAATGTCACCTCATTATCCTATAACAAAATATGAGTTAGTTTATTTAATATTGATAAATTTATTTGATATTAATTATGAAAAATATAGAAAAGATTAAAAACACAAAAGGATGATGCAATGCAATGAAGATGCACAGTTGAATCAACTTCTCTCGATGCTCTCATAAATATTTGATGACTTTGTGAATCATAGGCCATGCGATGTGCCCAATTGGCGGTTCCTCTGCTCCTTTCTCAGAAATTTACTTCATCTTAGACATCTAAGCCTCCTTTTCTATTCTTCAAACGGAGTTTTCGTGACGGCAACAAAATCTCTTATCATTCACTGCGTTTTGAAGTTTGTGCCTTATCTAATCCTTTTTCATTCATCTTTTGTTGGAAATTGAGTTTCCTTCGCTTAACTTTTTTACTTTTAATTTTAAGAATTGAATATTTAAACTAAATTTTAAAGATTAAAATTATAAGAATGGTTAATTTTATGGTAAATAATATCTAAAATTTTATTATTAAACAAAGCAATTAATTAATATACATTATTTTAACAATATATAATGTCGACTTTTAATTAAATTTTATCCAGTAGAATTTTATTTATTTTATTTTATTAAATTAAAGAGTTATTTACACTTTAATAAATTTATCTATTCGTGTGTTTATTTCGTTTAAAATTAATTTTGACTCCTTAAATATAATTAAAGTGCATAAATTAATTTAAATCATATATTTTTATTGATATATATATATATATGTATATATATATTAAAAATGCAAAAAATAATTTTTAAACTTTTAAACAAACAAATCACACCTTACGATGCAATTCATTTAAGAACATAAAATTCAAGCCAGAGGCTCACATCTTTAGTACCAAGACTTGTAAAATATTCAACAATTAATGGATACATTATATACTAAAATTACTTCATAACTACACTCGGATGCTAACCTAGAACTATAATTTACATGCATCCAAAGTTATACATAAGCTATCTGCTGCAATAAAACGACTTTTATTCTATATATGTTATTACTCTACTAAAAAAGGCTTCAACATTAAAGTTCCAAGAAAGTATCATCTACCTTTACATGATGGTTACACCAATATTTTCACCTTCACCTCTTTTACTTAAAATGGATCCGTGAGCTTTTGGATTACGGAGGTTCATAATCATCATATTTCTTTTATTGGTTCAGTGCACGTGGTTAAAGAAGACTTGTGAAATGACGTACTGAGTAAGGTCTCCTTGTTTTGAGCTTGTCTTATTTTGGAAATTTATGATAAAATGTTTGTAGTTTGGTACATTTTAGCCCATGTTAATGCCTTGGTTTCATTTTCTTTTAAACTTGGGTTAACTATCATTTGGTGTATGATATAGTATTCAATTTAAGATTTGGTAATATAATCTTCAAAACAAAGATTAAATATATTAAATAAAAACTTAAATAGTAAATAAATAGAATTTTTACTTATTTGATAAAATCTGTATATTTAAATTTCACATTTAATTAACAAGGAAATCAAGCATCGTTTGAATATAATAACCAAGGGCACAACATAGATAATTCTTAACTTTATGGGTACAATATAATATTTTTTCAACTTCTCATTCTAACCTTATTAATACTTCACTCCAAAATGTTAAAAATGGGAAAAGTAGTGTGGATGGGACGACTAATGTGCAATGCTACAATTCAAGTTCCAATTTAACATGTTTATACCCTTTTCCTTAAAGAAAATATTTCATAAAATTATAAAACTAATATTTTTAATTTATTATTTGCATTATATTTAATAATTTATCTGTCAATGTTGTTTACTTTTTTAACCTTTACAACCGTTAGTAATCACTAATTTGATATGCCCCATTAAGTTTTAAGAGATTGATCTTTTTAGTTTTTAAAATCTGATTTGGCTACTTATTTTAAATTCAGATGTTATTGTGTTATTTTATTAACACAATAACATTACAAAATTTATTATTATTTGTGTGGCTGCTTTTTTCAAAAATATAATATTCTCATGTTAATAAATAATATTTTTTATAGGCCTGAAATTGAAAGTCATATATAATCTTAAATGTAAAATAGAGAAAAGTTAGTATATTTTATAGTATTTGATCAAATTAAAAAGGATGGCACAAGCTAATATGTCAATATAACAAATATAAAGTCTCTTGCTTAGGAAAAGACAATGATGAGGAAAGAGACACCAAACAGAATAAGGCTTTATATAAGTTGCTTCCACATAACTGAAAATGGCCATTGCCACTCTCAAAAAGAAAAGAGGGAAGCAATAGTCCAAGAAACATGAAGTTACTCTATCAAAAGCTTCGGGTTATTCTTTGGTGTGCTGCCATACCCATACCCTTTCTACATGTTTCTGCTGTGAGCTTACCAAACAATGAATCTGTGCCCGCAGTGATTGTATTTGGGGACTCTATAGTTGATCCAGGAAACAATAACTACATCACCACTCTTATCAAATGCAATTTCCCACCATATGGTAGAGATTTTGCTGGAGGAAATCATCCAACTGGGAGGTTCAGCAATGGCTTAGTCCCATCAGACATCATTGGTAGAAAGTTACATGCACTTATAGCAATATCTTGTACATTTTTAAGTTATGAGTAATGAATAGAATTAACTTATTCTTTGTTCATTTTCTCATAAACTTCCTTGGTTCATTTTCAGCTGCAAAATTTGGAGTCAAGAAGCTTTTACCTGCTTATCTTGATCCAAATTTGAAACTTCAAGATCTCCTCACAGGTGTAAGCTTTGCCTCAGGTGGTGCTGGATATGATCCTCTAACAGCTGAGTTAGTGGTAATTAACCATATATGTAGCCTTTTGTACGTTTTATATCAATAAACAATTATCTTTACCACATCTCGATGCTAACTCCAGTTTACTTTCTCCTTGTCTCAAGTCTGTGAAATCATTGAAAGATCAATTAGACATGTTCATGGAGTACATAAAGAAGATAAATGAAGGAGTTGGAAGAAACAGAACGGCATTAATAGTGTCCAAGAGCATATACATAGTGTGCTTAGGAAGTGATGACATTGCCAATACCTATGCTCTAACACCATTTAGACGTGCCCAGTATGATATTCCTTCTTACACGGATTTAATGGCTTCAGAAGCCTCAAACTTTTTGCAGGTATTGTTTGGAAAAACAACTATAGGGAAGATAAAGAGAAACTTGCATCTTTCTCTCCTTAGAATAGTCATGCATGTGCACACTACTTGTGCATTTTGAAACTAACTGTTCTGTAAATGCAAAATTATAGATAAATGTTACGGCACGTTTGTTTTGAAGTTGAATAGAATTGATTTTAATAGAATTGATTTTGAACCATTAAACATGATTGGGATGTGTGTCAAAGCTAACTTAAACCATATATTTTTATTAGAACGTGTGTAATCCATTTGAAATTATGAGAATATATTCCGAGTGTAAAACAAACGGGCACTTAATCTTTCAATCATAGGCCATGTTACTGTTACCCTTAAACAGCAATAAATGTAGTGGTAGACAAATGACAAACTGAACCAACATTTCTGTTTATGGCTAACATTGGCTGTTCATTGGTAGCTAAACAGGAAATGAATGCATCTTGAATATCAAACATAGATCTAGTGATGTACTGTATACTCAGAATACCAAACTTGGTTTTACTTATTGAATGTCTCTTCTTTTCAACATCTTGATGACCCACTTACCAAATTTTGGCATTTGGAATTTTCTTTTCACATTTTTTTATTTATTTTTATTTTATTATTTTTCAGTAAAAAGAAAATTAATAAGTGGGATGCAGGAACTTTATGGACTTGGAGCTAGAAGGATTGGAGTATTTGGTTTACCAGCTGTAGGGTGTGTACCCTCACAAAGAACAATTGGTGGAGGCATGCATAGAACATGTTTTGATTCTTCTAACCAAGCTGCAACACTCTTCAACTCGAAGCTCTCATACCAAATGGATGCACTTGGAAAAAAGTTTTCAGACGCTAGGCTTGTCTATCTTGATTCTTACAACGCATTGCTGGACATGATTCAAACCCCTGATAAATATGGTACTTACTAATAATCAAGTCTTACAATTATCTATGTCTATTATACCTTGTTGCTTATATGCACCAATTATATGCCAATTATTTGTGCCCTCAAAGTCACACTTCATATTACATGGAAAGATTTTTTGACGTAAATGAAAATAGTATCTAGCTACATCATATTCATTTACATGTTCAAATAAAAATTGACACTATATATGACATCATACATAATTATTTTCATCTTTTTTATATATACATATATTTAAAAATACAAGAAACATTTTCCATTTCCTCTCGGTCGCTCCTTCATGCACTTCCCACGGGACCTACAAATTAGCATGAGACAACCATCAACTCTCAAAAAGCTATGATATGGAAGAAATTATTGTTATGTACCTAAGTTGTATTGGTTTTGTTATTTATTTTATTTTGGTGCATGATTTAGTGATTTTAGTCTCTCTTTTTTCTTCCCTTTTGGTCTGTATTTAGTCTATTTATGAATGTTTCATTATTAACATTTTTTTTCATTTATTGAAATCATTGCTAATGACATTTGGTGTGAAGGTTTTGAAGAGACAGAGAAAGGATGCTGTGGGACAGGGAATATAGAAGTTAGCTTTTTGTGCAACCCTTACAGCTTTAACACGTGCTCTAACTCTTCAAACTACATATTCTGGGATAGTTATCATCCTACGGAGAAGGCTTATTATGTGCTTAGCTCTCTGGTGGTTGATAACAAAATCAAAGACTTTTTCTGAGAAAGTTTCGGGTTTCTATCTACTATTGTAGCCTTGTTATCTGAGTCTTCTTGTTCTCTTGCCATTATTTTAATGTGCTCCAATTAGAAGTGGTTGTAATGAATGCCATAATCTGAATGCCTCGATGTCACCATGGACCTTGATTCCGGGATATCAGATGTATTTTTTCGGTGAATATAGTGTCATAAGCATGGATCTACCTTTACTTTCTTATGGGAATATATCATTATATTGGACATGTTTACCTTTTTATTATTATTATTATTCAGCCTTTATTAAAGAATAGTTTTAAATCTATTTAAATTGTGTGCCAAATAATAAAAGTAATTAGAACGGATTTAAATTGTTTCAAGCTATTAAACCAATCCAAAAAACTAAGTAAATTGTTAAAAGAAATTATATTTTCTTATCTATTTAGTTCAATTTTTGGTTTAAATATAAAATTGAAGAAAAAATTTACTAAATTTATATTATTTTCAATTCTATCTTTGTATAATAAGTGACTTATATTATATTGAATGCATTTGAATTTTAAAAAATTAAAATTATTTTGATAAGGGATTTGTAATTTAGACTCAACTATGTTTTATATGAAATGCAATACTTTTTAAAAAAAAATCTTATTTACTATGCATTTTTCGTATTCGTACTCTAGTTGACAAAATTTTATTTGTTTATTGACAAACAAAAAAATATATAATTTTCCCTCCAAAAATAGAGTAAAATTTAAAATAAATGATACAATCTAAATTACAAAAGATTGATGTAAGTAGATTCAATTTTAATATTATTCTTAAATCAATAAATTAAACCACTAAATTTTTTATATCAAAATAAGATGATTTTTTTTTATAAACGAATCCAAGCTAGTCTATTTAGTAAACAAAAATTATTAAACATTCTTTATATTATTGTTGTTAGCATGTTTCATCTTTTTATTTATTTATTTAGTTTACGAAAGAGTTTGATGTTTTGATGATATTACAAAAATTAACTTACATATACTTTGTCAGTTTGGGCAAAGTTTTAAAAAAGTCTTTATATAAGAAAAAAATTTAGTATAAAAATAAATTAAAAAAATTTCATTATTTAAAAATAATTTGTTGTTTCAAATTTTAAAGAAATTAAATAAAAAACTTTTTAGAACTTCTCAATAAAAAATTTATTCATTTTATATTACTTTTTTCTTATAAGAACTTCTTTAAAAGTTAATTCAAACTAAACCATTGTAAATGAGAGTATAGTATTTGAGCCATGAAAAGAAGGATGTATAAATTACACTCTTTTATTAGAATAATTTTACTTTTTATTTATATCTTTTCTAATTTTATTTTAAATTTTAGAGATTAAAATTATTACTTATTTTTTATTACCTAATATAAAATTTTTAATTTTTTGTGAACACCTATTTTTATATTTTTAAAAACATATTTTTTCTATTTTTTAATTTTGGATTTTAATTTTAGGGCTTTTTTAGTAAACATAATATGATAGAAGAGTTGGATAAAAAAAAGATATAATAGTATTATATTATTTTATCTTATGTTTGAAATGAGTCATATAATAATATGATAACATGATAGAATATAAATTATATATAAATGACAAAATTATTTTTTATTAAAATTAAATATAATTTTATTAAATTTTAAGTTTATTTTAATATGTATGACTTTTTAATAGAACTAAATAAAAATATAAAAAATACTTATAAATTCAACTTGTGTCAAAAAAATATTAAAAGTTGTTATAAAAATTTATTTCTTATAGTATAGTTTAAATATTTTTTATATAAAAACATAATTAAAACTAAACATATGATTGAAGAGTTGAGTGACAAGTTGTTACATTATAAAAAAAAAATACATAATTTTATTTAGTTTGACATGTATGGAAAATTTGAATGAATAGCTTTGGTTATTAAGGTAATTCTATATATGAGATTCTAAAATTAGAAGAGATTGGTATGCTTTCAATTCTTGAATGATGTTAAATATTCAAGACTCTCTAATCACAAGATAAGGTTAAAATCTAGTGTTCCTGTTATATTGTGAAAAACATTTATATTAATAAGTTGGATTATGAGCTTTTTTATTTAAATAATACAGTTTTAAAAACTAATTCTTAAAATAAATTTTATTTAAAACTAATTCTTTGGTGTATTTTTTTGCCATGTCTCACTAGTAGGTCATGCATGGATGGTAGTATTTTTATTATTATTATTTAATAGATTATTGACTATCTTGAGTCTATACACATCTATAGCTTGACATGTGTCATCATTATAATAGTATCAAAAAGAAAAAGACAATAGCAGTATCGACCATAAAAGTGCGTAAGGACTATCATTCCAAAATGAGTGATACTGCTGTTATATTAACATATGTCTCAAGAAAATTTTATCACAGTAGATATGGATATTATCCAATACTAAATATAATAGTAGGTGATTCAGGTGACAAACTTGCTTCCATAATCAACATGGGAGGGTTGGGTAAGACCACTCTTGCATGGAAAATTTATAACAATGATCAAGTGAAGAACAGTTTTTCCACTCATGCATGTGATTATGTGTCTAACAATTATAGAGCCAGAGAGCTTTTGTTGAGCCTTCTCATGTGTTTTCTGTCCACATCTAAATATTATGATTTGTTCAAGAAGAAGGAAGATGAAGTTTAAGCTATTGCTACAAGTGAGAAAAAAACTGAAGACAAAGGTGAGAGAATGCTTGAAGGGAAGAAAGTACCTAATAGTGTTTGATGATATATGAAAAACTCAAATATGGAAAAACATAGAGGATGCCTTCCCAAATGATAATAATGGCAGCATCGGCAGAATACTAATAACTAGTCATGAAATGAAGGTCGCAAACTACGTTGGAACCACATCTCCCTACCACTTTTCTTTCCTCAATTACGAAGAAAGTTGGCAACTCTTTTCTAAGAAAGTGTTTCAAGGTAAAGAGTGTTCTTCTGATCTCAAGTCTCTCATCAAGACAGGACACGTGTCACTAAAATAGCAAGTATCGCTTGCTTTAGAACGATAGATTTTATGTACTTTCACAGTCAAAAAGTCAACACTGCTATTGTTTTTTTCTATTCGATACCATTGTGATGATGATACATGTCAAGTTATGGACATGTATTGACCTAAAATAGCCGATAGTCTATTAAATAATAAAAAAAATATTATCATCCATACATAGTCGATATTAGTGTTGATATGGCAAAAAAATGCATAAGACAAAGAATTGATTTTAAATAAAATATATTTTGAGAATTAGTTTTTAAAATTATGTTATTTAGATAAATAAATAAATAAAAAAGCCTGAGTTATGTAATGGTACCAAAGTAAAAATTGATGAGATAGGAAGAAATGCTTTTGGTGCAACAATTATTACAAGAACTATTTGAGACAAGATTTATGCAGGATAAATAAGATTCCTTCAGATTCAAAATTTCTATTTAGATTTGAAAGGAAACAATTTTCTGTATCTTTGTGTTTTGTAGTCACTATTAACAGAAGACAAGGATAGTCATTATCTCATGTAAGTCCCTTCCTTCCAAGACCAGTTTTCACACATGGAAAATTTTATGTTGCTTTGTCTAAGGCGATATCAGAAAAAGGTTTGAAGATATTGATAATCGATGACAAGGGAAATCCATTTACTTCTACAATAAAAAGTTGTTCAATGTTGGATTTTTATAACTTCATTTTCTTTAATATTTGAATTATTGACAATGATGAATAATATTTATTACTTTCTTTTATATTTTCATTTATCTTAAATGGGTTATTTCGAATATTTTATTTCTTTAATTAAAGTTATTATAGGGAAGACGAAAACTTGTACTTCGTTTTATTTACTTACGTTTTTAAGCGTAAAAATTACATTTTTAAACAAAATCATATTTATCATATATTTATAAGTAAATATTGATATTTGTTTTGTTCATATCAAGAAAAGAATTAATTCTTAACATGAACAAATTTAAAATCCTCGCCAAAAAAGACTATGTATTTATTTCAATTATTTTAGAAGATTCATTTAATAAAAAAATGTGTGTGAAGAAAATAGTTTTTAAATAATATTTAGATGTGATGTGAATTATGAATTAGATAGAAATAACTTAGCTAGAATAATATTATTGTGAACATTTAAAAAATAAAATAAATAAATAAATTATATCTCTAGTCTGCTCTTCTGGTTTAGGGGATTACTTATAGTGAGGAGAGCGTTGATATATATAAAGCACTTTGATTCTCAAAGTTGATTTAATTGGTACAATGTAACTTACCTGTACATCCATATAAGAAGAAAATTCCAATTGCACATTTTGGATTATATTGGGTACCAGTAACGGGTCTGCTACGGATTGTTTTTATATAATAGAGCCAATTTTATTGTCATGTAGAGACTATCAGGCCTCATTCAATTTGCAGAGGTTTACGGATTGAACGTATGGATTCATTTGGAACACATTTCATCATGTTCCACTTCATCTCTTTTTAATTTAAGCAACTCAAACAATGAAACTTAGTGTTGATAAAAAAATAAAAACAATGAAACTTATTATAATCTCTTGGCGCTATGCTTTATTACTTTAATAACAGTTCATAACATTTTATTATGTCCTGCAGTTACCCTTAAGTGTAACTAATTATGTCAATTTTGGCTAGTTTATCTATGTTACCGTGTTGCATTAGTCTGATCCCCAGGTACTTGTTTAGAATAAACTATTCAGTTAAAAGAATTCTAACATGTTAAAGGTTTCCAAAGGGACAATTCAAGCAGACACCATGAACTGTGCTACGGCAATCACGTTGAAATGTCCCCACATTACATTCGCAACTTAGACATTTTCTAACATTTCTGGAAAAAATTAATTCAATAAACTTTCATCTAAAGCACCACAATATACGTGTAACCGAAGCAACCAGGTCGTTCCCAATAGTAATATGAAATGCTTACACACTCCCTGTAATTGATCAATATCTTTAAAAATAATAACACATATCTCATAAATTGATCACTCTTTGAAAATTCCTATTTAAAAAAAAAAACCAATTATTAGAAAATGTATTCTAGAAAGCATATTGCTAAAAAGAGTACCACTTGGACAAAACTACTTACCATTATGTTTCAACTACACACTCTTTGCGATGACTTGAGAATATAGGCAAAAGAAAGCGCAGCATTCTATACTCGTTTGGAAGATCTTTCAATTGTTTCTAAGAGAGAAACACCAAATTTTTCAGGCATCCAAAACATATACAAGTAATGAGTATAATAATATTATTTCCACAACCACCACCTACCCTCCACATCTATTTAGACATCTGAAATATCCACACCAGCTAAACTTCCCCAAGACAGTCTACAAAATTGCATCTTTACTATCCTAACATCCATTCACTAGAGACCAAGAGACTATACACAGAAGAGAAACATGAAGCAGTAAAGAAAAAGAAATGCAAGAGAATAGCATCAGCGAAGTTTATTCTGAGCAACTGCCTGGCAGAGTTCATCTTCATAGAAGAGAACTCTATTAGAAGCCAAGGATTTGCACAGGGGCTTTGGTATAACTGATGGCACCAAGCAACGAGGAGGGAATGCTGACTCCTGGAAAAGAACAGCGGCAACCTGCCGCATCTCAGAAACTTTTAGGCGAGAAGGAGGTCGAGGCCCGTGTCTAGGTGCTTTAGGTGCGTGTGGGCTTGGAATCTTCACTCCTTTTCCATCACCCTTGCTGCAAAAATTTAATAGGAGTGTGAAGAATACGTGAATTCGAAGTTGCAGAAAAATATTTATTGTCAGAAACAGTTACCACAAGAAGGGCCAATGCTCAGTAGGACGGGGAGTCATTGTACTTAACATCTCTTGCCGAGAGCGATCTGGGGTAGTATAATTGAAGTGAAACTGCCTTGCACTTATAACCTAACAACATTAGAGAGAGTAATCATTACACAACTAGCCAAAGTACCTCAGCTAAACCATAAGCAAACATTTATAGGCAATAAATACAGCAGGGACACAACTTACAGCTTTTCTAATTCTTCGAGAAACATGGAAGACAGCCCTCAGTTGATCGTGGTGCAGGTGGCATAGTATTTTAACCTCAAATTTGTCAAAAAGAATGGGTCAACATACACAAATAGTAGTTCAAATAGAAAAGAATTAATACAGAAATACATGACATAAACCAAGCTATTTACAAACTTTAATAATTTTCATAAGCTTCCTGACGGTCCTTCACATGTAAAAGCAGCAAACACATACAGACAGAGGGATACCGGTTAGAACTTAGAAAATAACTCAGCAATACTGAACAGAAAACCACATATACTCCGGCATCATTAAAACAATGAAGGCAAGAAAGAAGGCCCGTCTTTCATCAATTCAAACAGTTTCTCCAATGGCATCCGCACCAATTTCAAAACACAAATGGAGGAACAAACTAATACTTCTACAGGACTACTTCATCGTGGTATTAGCACACACCTCTATATTCAAACAAATCAGAATATATCACTGAAACCCACATACAATAATACAAAAACATAAAACACTGGCAAGACTAAATTCAACAAATTAAAAGCAACAAAACTCAACCAAAATGCAAGAGACAGAAGCAAAACATCTAAGGCGGCATTGACAAATCTCCCTGACACCAGATCCATAATGTTTTGAGACTCAATCCTAAGCTAGGTAAACAAATCGAAACACAAGTATATCCAAATACATTCTTCAAATCAAGGCAACCCCAATACAAACAACTACGATCATAATCCACTAACATTTATTTTCAACAATAGAGAATCTCAACCTCTATACCACATTGTCACTGTTCAAATTAACTTCTATGGAAAAATAAACTTCTTTCTCAGCTCCCCAAAAGAGCTTTTACAAAAGGGGAAAACAACATTATTGGAAAAATAGATAATTTTTTGTTACCAAAAAAAAATAATCAAGCATACAAAAATAAATGATTATTTCCCCAAATAGATTAAACAAACCACATATTATTTCTCTTAATTTAAACATTCCCAAACAAGCACATATTTATTCAATAAAACTATAAAAAGAAGTACAAATTTCCATAAGCCATTAGATAAATTGACAATAAATGCAGTGAGTAAAGTCAAATTATCAAGTCTAGAAAACAAATTTCAAAGCATGGCATTAAACATACCAATAAATCCATAGGGAGAGACTCGAGCCTGGATTCCGAGATGCAATCTTCAGCACGAGGGGATTTCGGTGTCCCAACCCAACCACTCTGTTTAACCAAATTGACAGGGGACAACATTACAGGACTTCTATCAAACAGCTTATTATCGTGATCCTCATGGCGCACGTTTCTACTCTTCCTCGAATTCAACAGCGCCACCCTTTTCTTCCTTATATCGGTGCAACACTTACCTACACCCGAACCCGAACCTGAGGATTTGTTACCCCGAAGCTGAGAAAGTGTTCCCGGCTTCAGATACTTATTCCCGGAGCTACGTAACTGCCTTTTCCCTTTCGTAACCTTCCAACTCTTCTCATTCGGCAACGCTTTCCCCATCGCTTTTCTTCGCTTCCTCAACGAAACCTGAGAAAACAGAACCAAATTAGAAACACTGAAAATATTGAAAAATTGAAATGGAAAAAAGAAAGAAGAAAAGAGGAGAGAGAAGAGAGAAGAGAGAAGCGTTACATGACGATGTGGAAGAGAAGCGTAGCAGAGAGGGAAAGTATTGAATGGGGCCGCTAGGGTTTTTATTGTTCTTTGTTTGAATTTGGGTAAGTGCTTAAGGTGCCCGCCAAATTTTCGTGAAACTGTTTTGCTCCACTGAACTAGGGTCGTGGGGTACCTGCACAGGATCTCATTTTCGTTACGTGGCGTCCTGTGATTGCGTGTTTTTGCATCATATGTCATGTGGGTCCCACTTCAGATTGATGACCCTGTGAGACGGCGTGATTTCGATTCATTGAAAATATTAAAAATTCATTTATCTTTGTCGTTTATGTGTGTTTGGTTAGATTAATTTTTGAAATAGCTTCATACAAAGTTTGAGTTTTAAATTTAGATTAAAAAATTTAGAAATTTTAGAGTAATTTTAGAAGTTAGTTTTTTTATGTGTTTGCTGTGACATCAGTCAACTTAAGAGTAAATTGACAGTTATGACTTTTTTTTAATATTTAAAGATTAAAAAATATTATTATTATTTAAAATAAATTATTAATTTTCATTATTTATTATATCTTTTATTTTAATAATTTATTTAATTAATTAATTAAAGTTTATTAATATAATAAAATATTTACTCTTTTTCAAATTTATTAAATTTAAAAATAATTATATAATATATCTTTAAAAATATACTGTTTAATGATTGTGTATTTTGAAAAAATAAGTTAAAAGTTATAGAGTAATTTTCGAAGTATTTTTTTAAAATGCTATGACATCAGTCAACTTGAGAGTATATTGACAGTTATGATTTTTTTATATTTTAAAAATTTAAAAATATTTATATTTTTTAAATAAACTAGTAATTTTTATTATGTATTATGTTTTTTATTTTTTTTAAAATTATTTAATTAATTAAATTTTACTAATATCATAAAATATTTACTCTTTTTTCAAATTCATTAAATTTAAAAATAATTATATAACATATCTTTAAAAATATACTGTTTAATGATTGTGTATTTTGAAAAATAATTTCAATTAAGAATATGTTAAAATGAAGATACACTTTTAAAAATAAAGCATATTAATAATTATCTATTAAAAAACAATAGTTAAAACTTTAATAATTTTAAACTTTGTTATATATATTCATGTCTTATTATAATTTTGATAGTTAATTTTTAAATTAATAATAAATATTTTTACCTTTTAAAATAATTGTGATATATATTCATGTGATAGCGTGGAATAGTAGTTAGATGGCAGTGCCCGCAGAAGATGGCAACCCTGATGTCGTCACGACAGTTTGAATGCTCATAAAAACACGGATTCAGCCTTTATTAATTCAGCATCCACACGTGAGTACCGCGCTTTTCGCCAAATCTACCCTTCGCTTACTCGAAGAATTAACTCAAAGTGCAAAGAGGGTTGGTCAATGGCACGTAGATGTAGTTTCAACTTTCAATGATGCTTTATTTTAGTCTATATTTTACTTTATGTAAGATTGTAATTTCTTTAATTATTTATTTCATTATTTAGATTAATTTTTTATCTTAAAAATTTGTTTAATAATTATTAAATTTATAATAAAGATGTAATATTTATTATTTTTATATAAAATAGTAAATAAAAAGTGTATAAAATATGTTTAAAATAATGCTACTTTTATTTATATATTTTAATTTTTAAACCTATATAAATAAATGATACACCATACTGCTATTATATTTTTTATTAATAATTGGATAAAACTTTGAGATGAATAATTTAATTTAAACCATTAAAATTTTTAAAAAATAAAAAATAAATTTTTACATAAATTAAAAATATAAAAAACTAGAAATATTATTTAGTTTTTTAAAAATGTTGCAAATTTCATTTGAAAACATTTTTATCGTTAAATAATATATGATGAATATTAAGATATGGACAAAATTTTATATTATTTTTTTAATTAAAATTAAAATTTCATGTTAATAATAATAATAAATTGATATACATTAATGAAATGAAACTTTAATTAAAAGTAACAGTAAAAAATAATTATTATATTACACTTAAATTTTATGTTTTAATATAAAATTAAGTTGTGCTATTGGAGAAGTCAAAAGTATGTAGATTATAATCATAAATTTAAATCTAACAATAATTTTACAGTAAAATTGAATATAACAGGGATACAAATGATTGTTTGACTCCTTGCGACAGAGCATAGGATTCCATGTTCAATTGGCAATGAAATTCCTTGATTGAAGGTTTAACTTTACAACATCAATAATGGTTAATGAAGACCATGTTTATAGGAAGAAACGTAAGTTTCAAAAATCCATAAATTTTTAAGTACGCGAAACCAAGTTTCAAATCATTCAACTAAGAGTCATGAACGCGTGAAAACAAACAAGTGGGAAGAAAAAGCTCTTACCTGTCTTTTGAAGCCTAACAAATAATAATGTCATACTTTTTATATTGATTTTTTTAATGTGGTTTTATTTATTTTTTATATAAAATATTTATCAATATTTTTAATTATAAAAAATAAAAATATGAGTATTAAATGTTAATTTTTTTATATGTATATTTACTATAAAAATTTGTAATAAAATATTTACTCATTACCCATATAAATAAATATATTTAATCATTTAATATATGTATAGGATTTTTACCGTTTAATTAATATTATATATTTTATAGTAAAATATATAACTTTTTTTATCAGTCTTGATATACTAATTATTTATTTCTTATAAAAATATAAAATAATAAATTTGTATTAAAAATTATAACATTCAGTGTTATTAATATAATAAATTTTATAATTATTAATAAAACAATATCATGTATCGAAAGTGTATGAGTTTGTTGGTATAATCAAAATCTATAAAGAAATGTTAAACAAAGCTAAGTGTTTAAATTATAGATTTTTCTAACTACAAATGTTTTCGTGTGTATGAGTTTTGACTGTATGAGTTTGAGTCAAAAGATTTTGAATACTCAATATTAAAAAAAAAAATTGATACCCTAAATCATTATTACTACTAATATTATTACAATTACAATAGATGATATTATTATTATTTATTATTATTATCATAATTATCATTTATTATTATTGTAAATGTTAAAATTATTATTATTGTATTATCATTATACTACTACTACAATTACTAAGACCTACAATATTATTGTCACAATTATTATTGTCATCACTACACTATTGTTACCATGCATGATTGTTATAATCTTCATAATTGATGTTATTATTGGTACAATAATTATTATTATTGTTATTTTTACTATGATCATTATCATTGACACTATTTTTATCAATACCATTATTATGGTCATAGTTATAGTTATTCTCTCACTACAATCACTTTTTATAATAATAAATTTATTATTTGTATATAATTTATATTGCTATTTAGTAGGATATTTAGTGAGCATCAAATATTAGATAGGATTAGAATATATTTTGTTCTTCAAATAAGGAAAAAATTTGCTTTGTAATAATTACTACAGATGAAGGTAAAGAAATTTAATATAAACATATTCTACTTTTATAATAACATATTAAACAATATCTCATGAATAATTTTTTTTTTCAAAATAATATAATAGAATATGTGCATTAACGATAGTTGTGTGATTAAAACCTTACAAAAAAACATAAGGAAGATTTAATATTTTAAAAAACTACATTAAGAAAAATAGATAAACGAGTAGCTTATGTATCTAATTTGTTTTATCAAGACATGTAAAAAGTATGGGTAAGAAAGTTTACCATAAATTAGGGATTATTTTATAAGGTTGAAGTCTTATCGCAAGGTTAGTTATAGATATCATACTTTTTAGGTGCGGCACATTAGTCAATTGTTTTGCTTTTACTCAAATTTATGTGCAATTCATCCTTCATGCAAGTTAATGTTAATCAACAATAAACATACATGTATACAGATATATTTATTCATATTTTTTCTTCTTGTAACACTAATCAAAAAAGAAAGTTCAACTCGACAATACTATCAAAGACATCAATAATATATTTCATTTTGATAATTTGGAGATGGTTGTTCTCCACCATGAAGGCTTTATGTTTTTATATAATGAATATTGGAGACATTCAATTATCACTTCTATATGTCTATTGTCACTAATTTTAGAAATTTTTGTGTAAAATATTCCTATAATGTGGTTATAACAAAGAAAAAAGAATATTTTAGACAAAAATTACTTAAATGATAGTGATAATAAACTTTTAAAATTAACAATGAACACACTCCAATCCTCTAAATAGTTCTGCAATTTTTTATTTTAAAATTTTTATTTTAATATATTAAATATACCTTTTATTAGTTAAAGAAATTTAATTTCTCGTATTGATAATAGATAATTATTTAAAGTCTTTTACTCTCAATGATGCATTTTAATATACAATTATCTAAATGATCAAATTATTACACATATCTTTACACAAGTCGCATTAAATGTATATTATACAAAATATATTTTTTAAATTTAAGACTATAAAGTAATAGCATAATAATTTTATAGTATCTAAAGCATTGTCATTTGATCTCTCATTTCACAAAATAAAAAATCCATTATCTCTTGCATATATACAAAGTAAGCAACTCAATCACCCATTAAACTTAAGCACGCAAATCCCACTTAAATTTAAAGAGGTCCTTACATGACGTACAGGAAGAGTTAGATTATGGAGTTATTTAGAACAAATTATTAAAATTGAAGAGATTAAAGATTAAATGCAAAACAATGCAATGAATAACACAATATAACAACAATCACATGAATACAACATACATAGGAATTATTCTAAATCTCACTTTGTGCAAAATAAGTGTCTATTTTAGTGTTTACACAAACATTGCATAATCTTAATAACATTGATCACATTAAAACCTTAATATTTATATCTATGCTACTAGAAAAACATTATAACTTACTTCAAGTCCATAAAGCCAATGTGTCCATTGTGAATTATACTCTATTCATCCAAATGAAGCATTAAGTGAAAAACTAAAGTTATACACTTTCTCATGCA